TATTCGACTATTTGCATTAATAAATGCAATTAGCCATTTTAATTGCAATTTGGCATATTTTCTGTGGAATTTCCAGACGAAAGTGTTCCAAATGGCAATAATTATTTAGACGAAAAAATTAAATTTGAAATCGAATAGAATTCAATCGATTGCGTGGCCAAAAATTAAGCTTTATTTGTGAAATTGCAATTCAATTAAGTTGCCAAAACAGCCAAATTGAGTTGACCAAATGCCGCAAATGGACAAACGGCCAAATGGCCAAATGGGGCAACAGCAACAACAACAACAACAACCGAAAGTTGTTTGTATAATTTCATTAGCGTTGATTTGCAGCAAATGCAGTCGAATTTGCAAAGGCCTTCGCCTCGCCTGTAGCTGATTATATAACCCAACATACCATGCTCTATATCTATTATATATTACAGTTATATGTTATGTGGAGAGTTGGGTCTATGCATCAATTCGAACACGCATTCCAATTTCGGTTTGTCCAAGGCAAATAGCACACAACGCCCCCGCCTACGCCCCTCACCCCGATACCGCCCCCATAAAGCGTAATTATCGCTTCTATGTGGAGCGAATTCTACGCATATGCAAAAACGTACACTTAGAGAAAAGATTAAGATTTGGTACGAAAAAAAATCAAACAAAATAGACAAATTGTACTCTATAAGCATAGTTATTATTCCAATTATTAAGACTATCTCTCTCTCTTTTTCTCTTTCTCTCTCTCCCTCTCTCTTTCTCTCTTTCTTTCTCTGTTCTCTCTCTATTCCTCTCTATTTTCCTTTACATTACTTGATTCTCAAGCTGAGATATCCTCACTCTTCTCTCTATTTTTTTCCCTTGCCAGCTCTAATTTTTTAATCTTTTTTAATCTGTAATCAGAGTGCCAACGCTTTGAATAATTATAATCAAAATGTATCTTTAACTTTTAAGAAAACGATTTAAATTTTGTTCCACTCTAATTAGAATATGGTACATTGTTTTTCTCTTAGTGCACTCGCATCGGTAACTACTGCAGGGCCAACTGATAATTAGAAGTTACAACAGGGCACACAGTCAACACAGTTGTGTGTGTGTGTGTGTGTGTATGATGTGCCTTGCCAAATGTGCGCGAAGGAGAGGGAACGAGCGTGTGCGCTGGAAACGAGGGTGCATCACCGCAGGAGGCCCAATCCCAGAATCCAGAACCCAGTTACCGGACACACATTGCCAATCCCAATCCCAATGCCATTCCGGGCTGGGCAACATGTCCGCAACAGTTTCCGCTTGCACTAACGAAATTATAGACGCAGACGCACACAAACACAGCAACAAATTCTAACACATGGATGACTGAACGCAGAGCCATATCCTGCGGCGCCCTGCTGCCCCAAGAGGAGGACCAAATGGCCGGTCCGCAACGACATTGGCATCGACATCGTCTGCCTAAATGCTCTTTGAGCGTCTAATTAGTGGATTAGAACGCAACGCAAACTGTGAATCCTTGAATCCAATGAAATTGTGCGGAAGATGTGCTCGCTTGCCCAGCCTCAGCCAGCCCAATTAGCTGCTGCCGAGAGTAAAGCCCAATTATCAAACATGTAAACAAATCTATTAATTGCAATTATTTGTAACAAAAATTAAGCAATAATTATGTTTAGCACAGACTTCGTTAAGATGGAAAAGTTGACTAAGCAGTTTTCTCGATTCCAATTTATGACTCGGCTTAAGGGTGCGGGATGTTGCTTTGTATCAAAAAGAGCGTCTGAATAGGCAGAGAGAGGTCGCCGGTTCAAAGCAATAAATTAACAACAATATGAAGGGAAAAGTATGACTAATAAAGGCCAGGTACGTGTATTCCGCCATGCCACTTCAACTCTTTTCGATTTATGATAACTTAATTATATTAATTAATTGGAATACCCGGCTTTACCCCACCTTCCTGCAGCCTCAATCTAAGAAATCCTTTGGCCTGCGATTTCGTTAGACTATTAGATCAATAAACATTACCCAATTGCTTTTTTTTATGAAAATATAATAAAAATATGAATCGGCATTTGGCACTCTACTCGGAGGCGCGATAGCAATTGATTTTGACAGTTCGATCGCCCAGCGACTGAACTGGTCGAGCATTGCGTCCAATACGAGCGCCGCTGCGGCTGCGCAGCTTGCGGAACTCGTGGAGCTGCCGCTCGCTGATGGCAATGGGCTGTGGATAGATGAACCACTCGGCGCCGCGATGGCAGGGCGGCTCGGTGAGAGAGCCGTGGTAGCTGTAGAAGTCCGTATAGAATGGCGACATCAGATAGTTGAGCGGAAAGGGCGGTATCTCGACACACTGGCCAGCCAGCTGCACAGCGACCAGATGCTGAACGATCACGTCCATGAAAGGATTCTCCGCGGACACGGCAAACATGTAGGAGACCATCAGAAGACTTCGACTGGACGCGTTCTCCGTGTTGGCGGCGTCCGTGTGCAGGCACTGCATCTCCAGCGGAAAGTGCTCATTGTCCAGCGTGTGCTCCGACCCGGTGCTATTGTACCAGCTCCAGCGGAAGCTAATCTCGTGGAAGCTAAAGCAGCTTAGCAAATCGCCGCCGCCCAAGTGGGGCGTCTCCTCGTCCTGGAAGGCGGCGCGCAGCAGCAGCGTGTGCCCGTTGTTCTCCAGGCGAATGCCCACGGGCAGATCATCGTAGCCGATCCATCTGAGCGCCTGGCTAAAGCAGACCTCCTCCGTACTCCGGCTAACAATATTAATGGGGCTCTGATTGTTATCGGCTGTCCGCCAGGTGTGCGGTCCACGCCTGATGCCATAGTCCAAGCTAGAGCTCGTGTCGGGAGCAGCAGCAGCAGCTGCTGCGCTCTCTTCGCCTGCCTGTCCGCAGTCCGAAATGTGCTCCATCAGGCATATGCCCGAGTGCAGATTATAGAGCACTATCAGGGCGCCGCTCACGGCCCAAATCCAAATGAACCAGTTGGTGTCCAGCAGCTGGACGGACTGCTCCCGCAGCCAGCACCAATAGGAACTGACACAGGCGCAGCTCCAACAACAGCCCATCCTCAATGCTATTCTTGGGGCTGAAATACTATGGACAGGGCTAAAACCTGCACAACTTTTGAAATATCAAAAAACTCAACTGAATGAATTTCTATTTGAAAGACAGTTGTTTCGATAAGACTCAGTTCTGGCAAGCGAAGAAAGCATGGCAGAGATTAAGAATTCATAGGTGCTGCGGATTCACAGGTTTGCAGACAGAGAGACATCTTATTTGATATCCATTTCAATATTTCTCCACACAATTTGAAGGCTATATCGATTGTAGATCTATCGATATTTATCAATATGAAACTGTTTTCTTTCACTTGCAAGTGTGGTAGAAAGGCGGAAGACAATGAAAGTTGCCTGTTTATCATTCGATTGTCCTCTTTATTCAAATTTAAAAGGTTTGTTACACTTTCAACCTCCAACCTTGTTGGATATTGGGGTTCATACTGGTTGGCCATGAGTCCATCAAAGACCTGTATTTAAAATTTCAGTACGGAAAATCCAACAACCCCAGCTGAGCGTTTCACGCTTTTTCCTAAATCTAACCCACGGAAAGTATGTTAAATATTTTTTTGGTATTTTGTGCTTAAAATACCAAAACTTTTTGAGCTGCCCGCGTATATTTTGAACCGAAAAATGTTTAATTAAAAGCGCTGAAAAGTTAATTATTTTGAAAAACAATTTTGCACAATTTGCAATTTATTTGCATTTCGCAAATTTTTGGCAATTGTTGTTGTTCTTTTCTGTTGCTGTCGTTGTTGTTGTTGTATATTTAGCATAAATTAATTACGCGCTGCTGGGAGAACAACTCTTCAGCTACGGAAATTACTTGCACAAATATCCTGTTCGCAGCTGCCGCTGCTGCTGCGGCTGCATTTTGGGGCTCGCAAGGATATTAATTAGTTTTGTATACAAAATGCGAAATGAGCATCAAAAGCGGAAATTATTTTTCGAGCTTCTTCAACTTTTATTGTATTTTAATTAGTTTGCCAAAATGCCAAACAACATAGTTTTCGCTTGGGTCCAGCGAAATTTTGCCGTGTAACTCGACACCTTTTGGCCGCGAACCGAGCAGATCGCGGATTAGCATAAAACTATAATATGAAAGGCAATCAAAGTAGCTGAACACGCCCACATTCTATCTCAGCCGCCCATAAAGTGCGTGCTGCATTTAAACGGTGGAGGTTTCACTTCCAGTCGCACACTTTCCCGCTCTTCACCTCATCTATCGTCTCCCCTCCTCATCGAGTTTGATTCAATTATGACATTTTTATCAAATTGTTGCCCTGATTTGATGGACTGATTCGACTTTTGGCCTGGGCCTGAGCCAGTTGGGCGTTGACATCAACCAAATGTTGCAAATGTTTTTGCCACGTTGACTTCTTTTAGTTATTGTTGTTGTTGTTGCCTCGGGCGTTTTGTTGCTTGCAACGTGCACGCAAATTGCCGGGTAAGCATGTGGCATAAACGAAACACTAACATTGTTATATGAAAACCAACTGCTCGGGGGTGTCCAGTAACAATAATAATAATAAGTTCACATAATGCGAGCATAGCTCGCGGCAGTTGTTTAGATTTTTCATCAAAGAATTTCATCGTTTAGGGTTAATTGAGTTGCAATTCGTTTATAGATGTGCGCTTAAAAAGCATCCCAAGTTGGGTTGGGTGTTTCAGCATCGGACTAACAAGCGAGAAGTCGCCGATTCAAATGCAGAGATTTGTAGGCAAGTTCGATTATGAGTCTGAGCATCGGACTAACAAGCAAGAAGTTGTCCGTTAAAATGCACAGAATCCCAGGTGTTTGAGCGTCGTACTGACATGCGAAAAGTCGCCGGTTCAAATGCAGAGAATCGTAGCCAAGTTCGGATCGGTTCGTCATTGCACTAACAAGTGAGTATTCCCGAAGTTCTTTCGTCTAGTTAGTAGAAAAATTAAGCTAAAGGATTAGATGAAGGCCAGTTGGCCTTGCTTTTAAAACAAAAACTTATTCTGAGCGTATAAACTTATTCCTACTTCTTCTCTCATTCTCTTTCGAGTGTGTTTGAATATTATAATTAAGCATTTACGACTTCAAAACCATTTCAAGATGGAAGATTCGCATAAATGTGAAGAGAAAGCAGATGACGAATATCTATCGATATTGAGTCTATCGAATAAAGAGGCTTTACGTGATTTGGAGCTGATTTGGCAGAGCTTGCTGCTGCTGAAGTCGCAAACTTCAAGACGACGTGCGCACTTGGCCAAGGAACTGGCTGAGAACAAGCTAAGAAAAGAGATGGAGATGAATAAAAAACTCTCCGAGAGCTTGGATGGAGCCCTGCAGGAGCCTGCCATAAGAGATACCCAATGTTTTGTAAGGCAATCCGAGATCAAAGATAAAATGCGCCTAGAGGAATCTTCAGATTCGGACACCCTACTCGATTTCAGTCTGAAGGGCGAGGATGTATCCACAACCGCGATGGAGCCGAAAGCAATGAAGCAGAAGCAGGTCGAAGTGGATGCTGTGGCCTCTCAGCTAAAGCGAGCTGCCAATATATGCTCCATTGATGGCAAAACCTTTGGCGATCGGCACCGCGAGCTGCTCATCTTGTGCCAAAAGATAATGCGGCCCTATGGCATACCGATGTACGAGTTCTCCACATCCTGGAGCACGGGTCACGCTTTCTGTGCCTTCATACACTTCTATCGACCGGATCTGATCGATGAGAAGTACCTGAAATGGAAAAACCCCGAGCAGACACTGAGATATGTGGAAGGCGTTGCCAAATCCCTGGGCGCGCACTTTGATGGCAACTTTGTGAAATTGTTGCGTCGAAAGAGGCCAGGATTTGTTAAGGTTTATTCTTTTGTCTTTAAATTATACACCTGCCTGGGAGCCGCAGCTCGTAGCAGAAGTACGCCGTCAAAGGTGAGCAAATAAAATAATAGGAATAATATTCAATACCAAATGCCTTTCTGCAGGCAGATTTGACAGCCAGTTAATATACTGACAAGTCACTTAACTGCAGCTCAGTTCAATTCAAACAAATTGACGCCTCACAAACATGCGAAAGAAATTTCCGTTTCCGCTTGAAAAACTTCGTTAAACTGACGCGAATTCAATTGAAAGCGGTTGGCCAGAAAGCCGTAAAAGAAGTGAAAAAAACACAAGGTAGATTTCCCCAGTAGGTAATGCCCGACTGGGAGATATGCTGCAAACCCCTTTTTAACTTCCTTCCCACATTATCGGCTCTTATAATCCGATCTATATGCATTTTTGAGAGCTTAAATATGACAAGCAAAACCCAAGACTATAATGCGTATTTATAATTCTAAGCTTATCTGTGAGCAGGTATCTAAAAAGTAATATATTCTGGATCTGTGATAACTAGAGGAAAGTTTATATACTATATTTAATGTTTCTCGCTCTTATAATTTTCGAGATATGCTCTATAAACCATGTCTCAAAATCAAAGGAGATATCGCAATAGTTGCCGAAACAGGGCAGGATAGGATCTTTTTGATCAAGAATATATGTATATGCTTTATGGATCGGAGAAGCAAATTTTTGCACAAATATGCCCTTGTTCATCAGGGTAATAAAAAGTACACATTTCGTGCTGTTTCATAAAAGCCGTATACCTCTTAACACATTTTCAATAAGGTCAGCGGGAAAGTGTGAGAGACAGAAGTGCAATGCAATCGTCAAATAATACCAGGTGGGCTGAGCAGGAGCTTGTGCACACTCGATAAGGACTCGAGCAATGCTCGAGCCGTTGGCTAACCAAATTTGTGTCAGTGCGGCAAGGAATTCGATTTGGCGAGCATTAAGCGAGTCTATCCTTAAATCACTTAAACGCATTTGCTGATTAGGCCAATGAGGCGACTCTCAGTATCTACCTCGCCTCTCTCTCACATTCTCCCCCTCCCCCTCTCTCTCGCTCACTGGTGCACAGCAGGCGCCTTCCGTCAGGCGTAAAATTTCACACATTATTTGTGCACAGGACACGGACTCGAACAATTAGAACGCTCCGATAATATTGTCCTTGTTTTGTCTGATTGTCTTTCGCTTTGGCACAGCTGATAATGTTAATATGCGCCGCAGGACATCAAACACAAAACTCGAACTTTGTTTTGGCCAATCCGCTTATTGAAAGTCTGCCTGTGTGTGTGTGTGTGTGTGTGAGTGCACTCGACACACAACGGCAGGATTATCATTTTACAAGCCGAGTGCGATTGTTAAATGAACAGCGAGGATGTGTCTGCCTACCTGACCTGACAGTCAATCAGTCTGTCTGTCTGTCTGACAGTCTGGCATTTCCTTAGCCACAGCAGAAACCACATTTTCTCTCACCGCATTCGACTTGGCCTCGCGTCTGCTTCTTTTACCTGGTCGCAGGATCGCTTTGCGGCCATGTTGTAAGGATATAACTCGGCTACAGTAGCCTTCCCATTTGCCACTCAGCTGCGCTGTGAATGTAATCGTGATCCTTATCGCAGCATGCGACCTTTGTGGCTCGGCTCGGCTAGGTTCGTCCTTTGTGCCAGCTACTTCATTAGCAGCTTAGAGGCGTTGACGTGTTTGTCCTGTTGTTGTTTACAATATTGTTACTTGGCCTCATTATGCGCCAAAGACGCTCTAAAGTGTGCATTTCCTCTGCGCTTTGTTGTTTTCCTCTGGCACAAAGCCGAGCCATGTGTATCGCTCAGCTATTATAGGGTATCATTGATGTAGCCGAGACTGTTTGCAACAACAAATACGCCTACTTGAGGTTTGAATAGATATTTGCACGCAGCATTTCTTGAGAGAGTTGTAAATTCTTCCCACAGTTTAGAGCATTAAAGAGGAATTTTGTTTTGAAAATATTTATGTATATACATTTATAAATAAAGAATTGATAAAAGTTAATATATAATATCTATATATATATCAGACCTATACGTATATAGGGCGTACGATTTGGACATGAATTTGGACTTGAAATGATGTTGCCAGATTTAAATGCCGAATCGATCTAGAGGCCAAGCCACGAATAATAATCCAAACCTTAAAAAAATCGTTTTAGTTTTGCCCAAGTTATAGGGGTAGGAAATTTTGACCTATGTGTATATGAGATATTTAAGGATATTTTTCATAACAATTTCAAATTCAAAATTGCCGCTACGCAACTGTTGTGCATACAGAACTTAGCTAGGTTTCACACCAAGGTGTGTATTTCGGCTATAACAGATGAGTTTAGTCTATGGAACTCGCACGAGCAAATGACTTCCCAGAGGTGTTAACTGTTAAAATCCACAGCTTCACATTTATCTTGGACTCACACCTACTCGCATAAAGCGAGAGCGAGCATGGGTGAGTAACTTGGCTAAATAAGTATTAAATAAAAGCTTGGTATGTGAAATGGGTAAATTTAGTTTTTAGAGGCAGATTTGAAAAGCGAAATATATAGGCACATCATATCGAAAACTTACGTCTTCTAACGAAATAGATATTTGTCGATATTAATGTTTATGTGAATATGTATATCCATGGAAAGTAAATACATGAAATGATCATTTCTTTGTGATTAAAATGCCTCTTGGCCAAAATGTAATCCAGGTACCTTGTACAGACATAGCTGCACGTCTTAGTTGTACTTAATACACAAATTCAGACATCATTATTTATATGACATATCAAGAAAATAGTATTTTATTGCATTAGGAATATATCGAAAACCAAGGCTGTAAGAACGCAAGATGTTCTATGCAAAGTCATATAAAGTGTTAAATATTCTCGAATACGAGTTCGTAGAGTTCGCAAAAGAGAACTTTAATAGCATATTAGGTAATTTTAGATAACATTTAGTTTTTCCAGAGCCAAATTCAGTTAAAAACTACCCAGCACGTCTTTGAAGGGTCCGCCAGAATGCAAGAAAGCAAAGTGAAAGCTGATGCGCAAGCAGAGACAGATACGCATACTAGGACAGGCACAGGGGCAGGGACAGGGACAGGAACAGGAACAAAGACGGACACTAAGCAAGAATAATGCGTTACATGGAACTGCACTAAGCACAACATTTTTGGCTGCCTTCGCAGGCGAATTCCTACATTTTTTTTTTTGCTTCCTTTTTATGCGTCAGGCTGCATAGCAAAAAAGACGCACAAGCAGCGGGAATCCCCCTCAAGTAGAGCTAGTTGAGTACAAAGAGTAGCTGGGGGGGAGGGAGGTGCCTGGGCCTAACGGCGCCACTAGACAAATTACCGATGAGCAGCGGCTGCAGCTGGAGCCATCAGTCAGCGCTGGGGACAACAACAGGCGGCGGGGGAGCTTGTGATCCTTCGAGGGGCCAAAACACAGAGCAAAAAACATTTTAGGTCGACTAGCGAAAGGCGAAGAGCAAAAAATATGTGAATGGAATTCGTGTGACCAAATGGAGCATATGCCATGGCTAATTAGTCAAGCACTCCAAACAGGACGCACAGCAACAACAACAACAACGTCAAGAGTTGCCACAACAACAACAACAACAACAAGAATTGGGCAACAGGCGCCAATTAAATGCTTAAGCTGAGTTTCTGGTGAGCTTGTCATAAATTTTGACTGATTATGCGTATTCGTCTTTGTCGTGCACTCTCCCAAGGAGCCCCAGTCCCTTTGCCTTTCCCCTTTCCCTTTGCTACTGGCAGTGCTCCTACATACCAATCCCCCCTCCCCTTCAGCCCCTGCATCAAGGCATCCTTTTTCGTGACAGCTGAAGAAAATTTCTGCGCTTGCTGGGGTCCACGCCTGTTTGTTGTGTGTTCGTTAAACTAACCCAACTCCAGTTCCTCCCTCCCCCCTCCACCCCCTCCGACTCCTCCTCCTCATCGGGCCGTGTCCAACGCAATTCATCATTCAATTAAATTGACCGCAGAGCCGCATTTCAAAGTTGTCTCGAGTTCGTCGACATCTTTGGGGCTGGGCCAAAGGCTTTCGAGTACCAGTTTTAAAGTTAGCCACGCAAATCCTTTAATGCATTTTGCCGTTGCCATCGATTATCCTTTCAATAAACGCCATTCGTTGCCGTCCAAAAAAGCACACACAAAATCTTTGCACTCGAATCCTCGCATTGTCTTTGGCTCTCGTCTTTGTGTAGCGTAAATCTGGCGCTTGATTTATGCTCTGGCTTAAAAGCCAATTGATGTGAGCGGAAAGGAGCCGCTAACTGGACGCATTTTGGAGGCAGCTCCCACTGCTGTTGCTCCTGCTGCTCCTGCTGCATCCTGCACGTACGCTTGCCCGCCCTTTGGATTTGGGTTGCGTGGCGGCTTAAACGATTGTCAAAAATGCCGCGTGCAAGGATTGCAGACAGCCTGCCTGCCCCTCAGCTCAGCCCCGCCACGTCCATGCCCAATCATCTTGGAGCTTAGTATGCCAACAGGCACTTCCATGTGCAGCTCAACAACTCGACTCTTGGCACTGTCAACAGCCAATATTCTGGCAAAGTGATTTATGTCATGTCCATGCACTGAATGCAAAATGCCGCAAGGACTTGCGAGTGGCAACCGGAGGAGGCGCCTCCGATGTGACCTCTAATTGAGCTGATGACAACTCCAATGCAAATATTGTGAAATTCAACAAATTCAACAGTTGCCAGCAAATGTTTACCCTCTTTTTGAGCAGTGTCTATCAAATGCGCAACAGCCCAAACGCCTTTGATTAATTAACACACTCGAACATAGCTGATAACAAAAAACTGTAGCGAAAAAAAAAAAGGTATGAAAACCTACCGAAGCTCTAATAAACGAGCCCAACATCGAAATTGAGTTGTTTTCACGATTATTTTTGCTTGTTTATTTTGTGTGCACTGCCACAAAATGGAAGGCCTGAGATTGGGTTAAGCCATAAATAATCGATTAAGGCTAAGCTTGAAAATTTGATTAAACTTGAAAAAGATTTCTACAGAATAAACAATAAACTTTTCTATGTTCATCCTAGAGAATAAGACTCTAATAAAATGCATTAATCGACTTCTTGAGATCTATCAACCATTCCAGAAATAGAAGAATATATATAATATAGAATATAGAATAAAGAATAGAATATAAAATACAAAACATAGAAGACTGGATATTGAAATTGATGAATGAAGATTGAATTATGAAGATAGAAGATGGAAGAGTGTATATAGAATATTTATTTTATATTGGAATCAGATTGCTCTGTCCGTATAATAGATAATCTTGAACTATTTGCTGTAAGTACAGACCAGTGGGAATTGACATGAATTTTTAGCAGTTGTCATTTTTGGGCTCTGTTTGCCTTTGGAGGCAGCTACCTGCCAGATCTGAGAATTGTCTGTGATATTTTACAGATCTAAATGTATTTTACTGTATCACAGTCAGAGTCAGGCACAGACACCTTCACAGACGTCAATTTATTTCTTTGTATAGATCCGATTCCCCCCTGCCCCCTGCCCCCTGCTCCCTGCCCCTCTCCAGGTTTATTTGTGCTTCTTGTGGTTGGGTGCGGGGGGGGCACGTGATTTGAGTTTTTAATTAACGCCCCGAATTTGTTTGTTTGCGCGCTTGGACAGCTTGGAATTGAAAGAGACCGAGTGTGGTAGCCAGGTGGACGGACTTGGGAGTTCTCTAATTTTTTTCGTTTCTGCTTTTTCGAGTGTGGGGGCGTGGTGCGCCTTTGAGTGCTGCTGCCATGGTTGCCATGGCAAGTTTCATTTTGAGAACATTCTTTGTTGGCTAATTCGGCATTTTGCATGCTGCACAAATATAAAATTCCGCCAAAAGAGCCCTGACAACTGCCCGGCACGGGAGGAGCAAAAACTAATAAGCGACTGGAGAGGCGGCAGAGATGAGATATGAGGGCCGGGTGCAAGTGCGAGTGCGAGTGCGAGTGCGAGTGCGAGTGCCAGGGCGACAACAGGTGAGTGGGCGAAAAGGACGCTTGACACGTGGCAGCCAGGAGCAACGAGCTTGTGCTACCATCTTAGCCTTAGATTTAGCTTTGCTGCTGCTGCCAGGACCCAAATGGCACGCGGCTCAATCTCTGTCATCCTCGGAGAGTTATGCTTTATACAAATTCCACAGTTGCCGCCCCCGAAGTTGACTTTTGGCAATAACTGTGCGCGGTTGCCAGTGCGACCGAATGCGTACTTGTCCGGGGAGGGTGGAGTACACAGCGGTTGGATAGCTGCGCCGATTTCTTTGTCTTTTCATATCGCATATCGATAGGCGCCAGGCATAAGGCGCCAATTACAATCGCCATTTATCGACTTTATAAGCAACAACAACAAATACAACGTTTCGCCCCCCAATTGGTAGCCGCCCCTCACACAACGGTTACGTTTTTGTGGGCGTCGCCTGCATAACGCACAGCCGCACGCCTGTTGTCTCGCTCACAGCTGCGCTGCGCGGCAATCAGAGCGAAACAACTAGCTGAGGCGCACGCTGCCAGCGCTAAGATGGCAGCTGCACACTATCGTCGTCTCAGTTGCGTAAATGCGCACACTGTGCAAATCAATGCGAAAGCTAAGCAGTTGGCAGATAGCAAAGCAGATAACGCGCGCCTTACCCGCTTTTCGCCTGTCGATTGTGTTTGGCAAGCCAGCAGCTAGGGGGTGGGTGGTGTGGCGATTGAAATCATTGTCGTCGCCGTCGTCGCAGCAACTGCGCAGCGTCACGTTAACGTTAACGTTATCATCATCGAGTCAATTCGTTTTGATTTTTTCGCATTTGTCTCAAATGCGAGCGAGTCGCTGGGCAAACGTTACGCGCTTCGTTTCGTTCCGCTACGCTGCTGCACAGCAATATTTTTGCTAGACGAGCCGTCGCTAAAATCAAAAGCCGGAAATAGCCAACAAACACACACACACACACACAACTACACACCAACACACACATGCATGGCCAAGTGCTCCCGCAGGCCAAACTAATTTGACTGTTGTTAGGCTCAATGAAATATTCAGACCGAATCGCAAGTGAAATCGCAACAAAGTGCCAAAAAGTGTGTGCTTCAATTGAGTGTTGGTAAACGCTACACCAAATACCAAATACTAAATACTAAATGCTTAAACATAAAATGCAGCTGCTAAAAATCAATTAAGTTCGCATAAACAACAACAACAACAGCAACAACAACAAGAACGACAAGAACAACAACAACAGACCGCAGTCTAGCAAATTGCGGTCTCTGTCTGTCTGTCTGTCGGACCGGGCCGGACACAGTGTCCAGCTGTCAGTTGGTCAAACATTTCATCAATAAACGATACAACTTCCGTTACACTGCGTGCTGCTCACCTGCGACGCGTACGTGTATGTGTGCGTGTAAGTGTTAATGTGCATGTGCGTGTCTCGTAAGCGGCAAGAAAACTTTTCAACTTCCGGCCAAGTGACTTCGATTTAATTTCTTTGGCTTTTTTATGGTCAAGCCATTTAATTAATTTTACTATGGCAATTTGAGCGTCTTGCCCTTTGCCCCTGGCCCATTGCGAACTCTGACCCCGGCGGTTAACTCTCTGTGCAACACACGACGGGTTCTAAGGAAAAGAAAAGGGCTCGCAAGGTGAGTCGAATGAAAATGAAGCTGAAAGTTGAGCAGCTAACAGGATTTGTATATTTGTTTGAAGAGAAGCTCGAGACAAGACTTTGATAGGTAAATCAAGTCAAAAGTAGGATTATGCATTAGCAAAAGTTCTACTAAATATGTTCAACTCTTCAAGATATAATCTACATATGCGCATATTTGTGCTCTTCCTCCCTTTACAGAGCCTGCACAAAATGAGAGACAACATCATGATTGAAATGTAATTTGGTGCACAACAATTAACATACATATACTGTGATAAGAGGAGTATACGAGCAGATTCCTGGCGGGTCTGCACAAACGGCAATTCAATTAAATTGAAATTCTAATTAAGATAACTACGTTAATATTAATTTTGGCTGGCGAGCCCAAACACAGACAGCAAAGGCGACAAGCTGTCGACTCTATCGATACGCAACTTCTCGGCAAGCATGCTGAACAATCTTGGGGCCAATGTGCTGGGTAAGTCAAGTAGTTTGTAAAACGAGTGGGGGAGTGCTGGCAGGGGGGGGGGGGGGGGTGGAGAGGTGTGTAGCGTATAATATTGTAATTAAGATCGCGCAGTGAATTGCGCTAATATATAATAATATGTGCATTAATCTGTCCGCCTGGCCGATGGCCATAATTAAACTAATTTCTTGAGCATACGCTCGCTGGCAACGGGTCGCCTCATATATGATGTATTTATGTGTGTGTGTGTGTGTGTGTGTGTGTGTGTGTGTGTGTAGTTACTTCCGAGTTGGAAGCTGAGCCATCGATGCCGCTAAATGGCCTATAATTGAGGCGTCTAAACAGCTGGCGCCCCGTGTCGCGTGCATTTAGCAATAATTAAGTTGTATTTAACTAGCTCGCATTTTTTTCCGTTCTTCTTCTTGCTGCTGTGGGTGTAAATGTCTGTATCTGTGTGTGTGTGTGTTAATTGGCATAATTGCTCTTTTAAATATGCCGCAAATTGTAAATTACATTTGCATTTGGCTCCGGTTCACGCACATAATTATCAGTTTATATTGTGCACTCATAAATATATATATATACCATATTTTTTAACCACATTGTTGATCATTTTTCAAGCACTTTCAATTTCGGCAATCAAATTTATAGCCTAGCCAGGCAACTGCAGCAACTTTGCAGCAACTGCAACGGCAGCTGCAACTGCAGCTGCGATTCGCACTCGAATGAGTTATGTGCGCGCTTTTATTGAATATTTTGCCCGCACTGTAGCTGCAGCCAGTAATTAATTACTTTTATTAATTTATTGCCCCTTTGCCGCGCAGCCAATTGCCAACTGCCAATGGCCAAGCCGCTGGGCATACGCGGCGTATGCGCAATTTTGTGCCATTGCCCTTTGGCCATAAAAGAAATATGGTAAAAATATTTTTATTTACATCCAAATATTGTCTCTAAATGAAAGTGTGGCCAGAATATTATTAACAACACATGCAAAGCTAGTGTTGTGAGTTGAATTTGTTGATATAAAAAAAGTAATCAAATAATAATAACAATATTTCATTCAAAATTTAAAGTTTTAAGAGTGTGCCAAATATATATGAAAGAATTTTTGGAATGTTTGGAAACTTGGCAAACGCAATTCTACTCTATGCTTGATAAAAACCAAAAAAAAAATGATTGCATTTAAAACGCATTCGCTTCTCTTTTAAGGCTTAAACAAAACTATAAATTTCAATAAGTTGTCATGCAGGCAAACACGCCGAAAAATCCTTTCTGCACAAACAAGCCAAATCCTGCTGCTGCAGCATGCCCTCCTAATAAATTTCATAAGCCTCGCCGCAACAAACAGAACAAAAAACAAACGGAACTATGCGAAGCAACAGACGGCAACATTTGCATATTACGTATACGCTGCGTAGGCCCGAGCAAGGCAAGTCAGGAGGGGCGCGCGGTGTTGAGGGGGCGCCCAATTAAGCGCAATTTGCATGCAAAAGAAACGCGTTTTGCGGGCAGCTTCGTGCTGTTCTCTCTCTCTCTTTCTCTCGCTGTCTCTCTAATGCCCATTCAACATTTGCAAATGTTGTGTGGCGCGAAAAACTTAAATCGTTGGACTTAGTGCCGGAAAAAGGGGCGGAGGGTGCAGGGGTGGGCTGGGGGCATTTGGAGTGGCAAACAAACATTTGTGACTGTGACTCGACTCGGCATTTTTCGTGCCCGGATTAATTAAATTAATTTCACGATTGCATTTGTAATTTGCCTGCCAGCCAAGAGCACGCTTTGGCCCTGTGCGTTGGCATTTTTGCGGCCGCCAGCGCCAGTGAAATATGTGCTGAGCGCCAGCCCCCCGCTCCACGGTCCACACTCCCCACTCCCCTGGCGCCCAATGGCCGCCTTGGGGCAACATTTGCATCGAAATGTTTTGCGGCTGTTGCGGCTGCAGCAACTGTTGCTGCGGTTTTCACGTACAGCGCACCAATCCATAGGCCTGACCGCACAATTTCCAAATTTCAATAATTATGCGTGCAGTGCATGCAACTGACGATTGCAACTGCAACTGCAACTGCAGCAGCAGCAGCTAGTCCTTGTCGGCCATATATTTTGCGGCAGATATTTGCAGCTGCAGCTGCAGCCGCCGCCAAACTGATTTTGCGCAAATTGTGCAAATTGCTTGCGCGATAAATTCATGTTTGCCAATTTTAATTAATTAATCGCTTTGTGCGGTTTTCGTGCAACTCCACCAAGCAAAATGGCCGCCCGTTGTCAGTTGTACAACACACACACACACACACATACGTCCACATAGTTATGTGTACGCTCTGCTTGTAATCAGTTGGGCGCCGCCATGTTTATTGTAGCTGCGGGCATTATACAGCATTCAACTAATGTCACAACGTTGCCATTCCAAATTAGAGACATCTATGATTGATTCCATGTCCAATTAGTCATCATTATGGCCAGAGATACAGCAGGTAGTTAGAGCATAAAGACCTGAAACAGTAGCTGTCCTGCCGGATATATCTGCCATAAAAGTCTGGTGGGTGCCCAGCTGGCATTATGCTTGCTATGATTACTTTGCCCAAGGGCCAAGCAATGAGTGCCATTTAAGAAAGGAATTTTAATTTATATAATAAAATAAAGTAAAGTAAGCGAAAGTGAAGGCCGGATTGGGAGCTCCTAGATGGATTGTGCTTGTTTTGATTACCGTGTCCAAAGGAAAGTCGCAGTTCAAACCCACAGCTGAATTATCGTTGTTATAATTGCTTTTTAAGTTATGTGAGTGTCACAGCACTGTCACATACTTTTATTATAAAGAAAGTAACTAAATGTGATTAAAAATTGTACATCAAAGAATACTGAGGTTCGCGTCCCAATTGCATTTTTGTAAGGTATTCATAGTTAGTTGTTCATTTCTATGTAAACCTTGTTTAATTGAATAGTTTGTGTATTGTTGCCTTTTGTTGCTTATAATTCTGGAGTGGTTATAGCTTTAGACTCGGGACATGATAGATAGAACTTGATGTATCAGACAACCTGTTTGTACCTCAATTCCCTATAATTCTCAAAGGAATCTAGTTTCACATTCTGTTCACTTCGTAGTAGTACATTCGCATTACTGTGCTTTCTTTCGTTCAGCTCTTAGCTCGAGTGCTACTAGCTGAAAAATATTTGTTTCGACTCGCAAATGCAAACATTTGGCCAGCAAGTGTCTGGAGCTCACACAGATTTACAGTTGCAGTTCGATTGCAGTTGCAGTTGCAGCCAGTACTCGGCTTTGTTTTTCGTATTTATGTGCCACAACTGTAAAAGCGCTGGATGAAATTAAAGCTAGACCAAAGCGCGCGATTTCAAGAAGTGGCGCTATTTGGCCAGAGCCCAAGCACAGCCAGCTCTCTACGGCCACGCTCGGAGCAAGTCGAATAGCTGAAGGAAGCAGCACACCTGAATGCTAAAAGTCGCACTTCTTGGAGCAACGGCCCTGGCAACGAGCTGCGAGCTGAGCTCCGAGTCGAGCTCCAAGCTGAGCTCCGGGCTGGGCTGCTGCTCCGTTCGAGCGTAAACTGTTTGACTATGGGAGCTGCAGATATCGCACCTAACACCGCGCCTTAAATTTACCAATCACGACACTGGAGCAGCCATCAGTTGGCCATAAAGCTCGAAAGTTTGTTGATGCTGATGCCAATGCGTGTTGGCCCTGTTACAGTTGCAGTTGGCAGTTGACCAACTGCTTTTAACTGTAAATGCTGCAAATAGTCAACAAGCAACTGGCACGGAAGCAGCTTTCAAGCTGTGCTTCGGGCGTGTTTTTTTTCCTTTCTTCAATATTTGACAAACGTCAATGTTGCAAGTTGATGGGACAGCATGCGAGTGTGTGTGTGTGTGTGTGTGTGTGTGTGTGTATCTGTATGTGTGTGTCTCTGCGTCATGTAAGCGCTGTCGTGAACATCGAGCGCGTCAAAAATCGCTAATGAACAGTAGCCGCGCTGGGTGTATGTGTTAAAATTAGCACTTTGCTGGCAACGCTTTAAAAGCGACTGCACAACAACAAAAACAACAAGAACAACAACAACAATCACTGGAGAATAGGGGAATGTTGGTGTTTTAGTCTATGGCTATCACAGGCCAGGCTACAAAAACTAAAACAGCAGCAAGCACCAAAAGACTTTCCTGCTTTTTGTACCCTGTAAAAATAAAGCCATATAGCAGCTGTGCATATGCAGGGAAAAAGACAGAAAGAAACAGCTGCGAAATAAGCATATATATACCTGATCAAGACGAGCTCATGTCCATCTCTTTAATTGAATCGGATAATTCGCTCTGTTTTTACCAATACCAAAATATATCGATTTGTAGCTAAGCCTTTTACAATTTTACCTTTGACAATGTATTGAGAATTTCCTGAGTTTTCCCAAAATCGATAAGTATTTACTTTAGGTTACGACTACAAGGAGATCTAAACCAATTCGTAGACTATGAAAGATTCAAGTTTTTATCTAGTTTTCTAAGAAGCAATAAATATTGATATTAAGTCTGTCGCTTGCTTAATAGTTCTAGAGATTTTTTTTTTCGAGAATCCACCCAGTTTTGAAAAAATCTATGACCATCAATATTAAGCCAAGTCTCTCTGTCATCTATGACATATCAAGACTTGTTTCCTGCCTGTGTTTCTGAAATGTATGAATGCCAACTATCTTACTTACACAGATCCACAATATCTTAGTTTTTGGAAGCTTAGCAACATTCGTCCCTCAAATATGGTTTACAAGTACACGCCTTTTCGACCCGAAATCGATAAATACCGACGTTTATTTAAGCATTTTTAAAATACGAAAAGCTATTCAACAGAAGAGTATTAAATTATATCAGAATAAATTGCCGCTAACCTCAAAAGGTGGCATATATCTCTTTATGAGTGCTTGACTTGATGGGCCTCTTCAAGCACTGAAAGTGTCATAACATTCAGAATTGAGTGAAAATTATGTTTTTCTTCGAGCGTATTGGGGTGTCATATTTTGGCAAACATGTTTACAAGGTAGCCGCCAGTCGTAGCTGCTCCGATTAGAGCACTTGTTAATTTATGTGGCGCTGCACTCGTTGGACTTTTATGAGCTGCTAGGCTTCCAGCAGTGCAGAGCAGCTTCCAGCTTTCGTTCAGATTGTCCGCTTTGCTGTGCCCCGCCTGGCACCTGTTGCTGCTGCTGCTGCTGCAGCGTCGGGTCGCAGCGCTGTGTTGTTGCGCCTTTGTGAAGATGCCGAAATTTTAACAAGTCCATTTGGAAAACAATAAAAATCATTGATGCTGCGCTCGCTCACAGCCAACATCAAAGTCGGCTAATTGAAAGCAATTGGAATACCCTTCCATACCCTACCCTAGCTAGGTCTACCTTAGCCTGGCTTGGCCTGGCATATAATATGGACTATGGCATTTGCATTTGGGAAGGTTTCGCTTTCAACGGAAATTGCACACTTTTGCCTACGCCCACACCTTCACTCTATGGTGAATACTCTTTGCTTTGAGGCATACGCATAATTATATGAAAATCATGACAACATCACGAACTAGTCGTGCCCAAAAGGTTATGTATGGAGACGAGAGTTCGCATCAACTGGCGATGAGTAAATGTTTGACTTGTAGCAGAGTTGAAATATCAAAAGATACACTCACACACACACTCGAACGCATACACACACACACAGAATCAATGGCAAAAGAGTTGAGCTGTTGTTGCTGCCGTCTCTCACACATCTCTCACAGGCAGCGCCTCGCACATAGATGTTAAAAATTCCAGACGGTACACGTTGAAGTTGAGGTCTCCGACTCGTCGACTCGTCGACTCTGCCTCTATATATCCACCCCACTTGGCTCTATTTGTATTTGCCTATGATTCGTGTTTTATTTTTTGTTTCTTTCGTGATATTTCCAACTACTGTGTTGTTGTTGTTGGGCAGGCCGAAAAAAAAAACAGCGTTACGTAGTCAAGTGAGCTAAAGGTAAAACTGAAATAAAAGGGGTTACGCTCACAGCTCACACATGTATCTGCAGCTATGTATCTGCAGCTGTGTATCTGTATCTGTATCTGTATCTGTCTCTCCGCATCGCACCTCAGTCGGGCTACTGCTGTTGCCGACTCTTCGCCGTTTGTTACTGTTTTTGGCATCTTTTGAATGACAGGTTGTTGAAAAATTCAATTTATCCGATCGCCGCAGTTCGCTCCGAGCAATACATACAACAAGTCGAAACTCGCGACGGCAAAGCGCGGCAACGTTTCAACAAAAAAAAAAAAACTCAAAAAAAAAAATTAAATTCAAAATAAAAAAAAGCATATTTAGTGTCAATTTTTAATTAATCACAGGCTACAGTTAGGCGCTGCGTATAGATTTCACATAAATCAACAAAAATTCCGACGGCTTTTCAGCAAACTTTTACAGCCTGCCTACAGTGGGTGTCAATTGTGAGTGCACCTCTTGTGGTCACATTTCATTTACATTTAATTAGTGTAGACACTTACTACAGCACGCACACACACACACACACACACGCGCGCAGTTTATCAATGGCTTAACCAGCATTTCAATTAAATTATATATTTAATTTTAAATATAAAACAAAAAAGTGTTTTCTGCTTAAAGTAAAGGATTTTCAGTTAGTTGTAAAACTTAACAAAATCTAAAATTGTTTAGATTTAAAACAATTCAAAAACGAAATGAATAAATAAATAAATATCGAATAATAATATATGAATAAAATATTGTGATGAATAAAAAGAACTTATGAAATTATTTAAATATATAAAGAAGTACTCACACGGACATTTCTTAGTGAAATTCGTATTTGAAAAAAATATAACATAAAAAACATTCAATTAGATGAAGAAATAACTAATAAAAGTTTTTGTTTCATACTATATAAAAATATTAATAGCTAAAAAAGGCTACTTTATTCTACAATCCGTAAATATAATATATAATATTAGATGGATATAACAAAATTGAATAGCTAATAATAATCGAATATATATAAATAATTAAAAAATTGATTACATAAACATGCACGAAATATTCAATTATCATTCTCTAATATATAAAATATTAATTAGTAACCAGAATTTATTATATATAACATAATATATACTTAACAACAAATAATATGTGCATTTTTTATATATACTTAGAGTGTTTAATTAAAACTTAATAAAAGACCAATTATTATATTTCTAAACAAATAATAGTTGGTCAATTTATTATATGATATAAAAAATAAATAAACAACTAAATAACAGTCCCAGTTCTATAAATATTTAAAAAATATAATCTATTAATTATATTCTATAAATACAGACAATTTCTTTGACTTTGACAGACTTTGTCAGCATATTTTAAGACTTTGCTAACAAGTTCGTCCTTTTATCTTCAATCTTAAACCTGTTGGAAATTGTAATCGTGACACTAGAAGCGAAAGCAAAGCAAAACAATAAAACACTCAATTTTTTAGCTGTGCTAGTAAAAGAGATTTCTTTTCAAAATCTTCGTATTTATAGTGTGCTAAAACCCGCTAGCCGCTCAGCCTAAGATTTGTATTTATACTAAAATCAATAGTCAATATTCAGTCAACACAAAACCTGAAACATTTGCCAGTCAACTAATCTATAGCTTTCCCTTTCTCTCTACCTTACTCTCTCTCTCTCGCTCTCTCTCTCTCCCACTCTGTTGGCGAAACAGGCCCCAAGGATTGTGATCTACCCAAGGCGGCAATTACAGCACTTCACGCGGGCGTCAATAGCTTTGGCCAGTTGCCCGTCGCTCCGAACATTGCGGATCTTGGCGGAGGTGGAGCTGGACCCGGCGGCGGTGGTGCGGCGAGCATTGGCGGGGTGGCCCGACTGCATGTGACTGGGGGACTGTGCGACAATGGCAATGCACTGAATGGTGCCAGCAGTCACGGCAGCAACAACAACAACAGCAACAACAACAACAACAGCAATAGCAACAACAACAGCAACAACAACAACAACATGCAGCAACAGGATCAGGTGAGCATGCGCTGTGAGAGACTTCTCTCTCTAGCAAGAGCGCGAAAGAGAGAGAGATAGAGTCTCTCCCTCTCTCTCTCTCTCTCCTTCTCGCAGTCTTCTAGCAGCAAGTAAAAGCTGAATTTTTAATAATCCATGTTCTTTTCGATGTTTTTTTCCTCAAAAAACTCTGCTATGCATATAAAAATAAATACAAAAAAAAAACCAATTCGAACCAAAAACTGATTTGCCAAAAACCAAACAAAATAAACGCAAAACCAAAAATCAAAAAAATATCAAAATAAAATATAATATGTGAATGTGTAAATTGTGTGTGTTGAATTGTGTATAAAAATAATTGCAATGAATAAAAAAAAAAGTAAGTGTGATTTTATTTCCATATGTAATTTATGTAAAGCAAAAGAAACCAAAAAAAAAAAAAAAAAAAGAAATGCAAAAATTAACTAATTTAGTTGCTACGTTTAGTTTATTGTCTTTAATTGTAGACTTAGTGCTAGCTACTCTTGTTCTTGTTCTTCTTCTTGTTAATGTTCATGTAATTGTTGTTGTTGTCGTTGTTGTTGTATTTGTAAATTAGTCGCTGCCAACGCTGTCACACTCAAGCCGGGTTTCCCCCCGTTCTCTGTGCGCTCTCCTTTCTTGCAGCACCTGGACAAAAACAAGCAGAAAAGACACCGCACACGCTTCACTCCCGCCCAGCTGAACGAGCTGGAGCGCTGCTTCTCCAAGACCCACTATCCGGATATATTTATGCGCGAGGAGATTGCCATGCGCATTGGCCTCACCGAGTCACGTGTCCAGGTGAGTCAGCCCCTTCCCTTCACACTCTATACTCTACACTCTATACTCATGTTGTCGCTAAACTTTGTGCGGCTTTGTTGCGGTCGCCGCGTCTCGCATTTGACTTTCGGTTAGCTCAATTGACAGTTGCCCGACTGTCAGTTTGACACTTAACGTTTAGTTTAACATGACAAATGCAAAACCGCAGCCGCTTGCAACGACCAAACAAAATGCAGTCGCGGTTTGAACTCAACCAAGTCGAGTTTTAGTGGCTTTTGTGCTAAATGCCTCTGACTTTTGGCTTCAAAATCTTTGAAACACATTAGCTGGAGGATCGAGCTCCGTATTCCTTTGCTGCCTCAATATAACAAGGGAACTTACAAAAAAATACTTGACAGCTGTTACTATTTTAACAGCACTGCTTAGAGCTTTTCCTTTAACATATGCTTAAATTGTGTTCTATTTTATTAAGAAATGAATTCGAACGCGAAACGTTACCCACCAAATATTTGAACCCTTTTTATACAAAGAAGACTCTAATGAATTTGAACAAAGATCTTTGCCTCTGGCGATTTACGCGCCTTTTCCATACTTGCAGAAGGATAACTTTCACTTAATTTATTTCATACCCAATCTGTAAGTGTAGCCTTTACTTGAGGAATAAGGTCGAGAGTTTCTCTGCCCAGATCAGATCAGGGCATCTTTGAGGGAAGTATGGATTCTCTCTATAAGGCAGCTCTTGCTCCGTTTAAGCAGCTTTGTTTTATAAAACTCTCTAAATTTTGTATTTTATAATTATCTGATTAATATTATTATTTACTTAAAGCTGTTTTACTTTTGCGCCAATATCAAAAGTTATACTCCAATCATTTCTATTTCTTCTTATTGACACACCTAAAATATCGTTCTCATATGTGTCCAGCGCAATTTCTGAAAGTTTGCACACATTCTACACTTATATAGTATTCCTAATTAGATTATAAACTATTTATTTTGTTTATTTAGCAAACAATTAGCAAGTAAATATACGAAACGGATTCAAAGTTATTAAACCTTTTGAAGCACAAACAGCGAGCAGCAAAAATTTTCATCTGCCTCGAACTGCGGCACCAGTCGAAGTCATGAAAGTAATATAATATTAGATAAATAATAAATATTATATTTAATATTGAAGCTTAGTTTTCTCACATTAACTAGAAAATCGATCTTATATGTGAAGTATTCTACATATTTCCCTACCTGACCCTTGTCGCAGTTTCCATCTTGATTCTTTTCCTTTTATCTCTTTTTTCATTGTTTATTTTTGCTTTTTTCAAATGTGAATTTTTGCTGGCGCGCGCTTTAATTCACAATTTCCGTAAACTTTATGAGCATTTTGGCTGCACTCGCGGTCGCTCAGCGCCATTTAAGCGCCCAAAAATTATACTTTATTAAAGCACATAAAGTCACATTTAGACGAGGCTCCCCTCCGCCCGCTCTGCCCTGCCCTGGCCCTGCTCCTGCTGCTGCTAGTCCTGCTCTCTCTGTGCGACTTATGACTGCCGCAGCCAGCACAAAAAGTTTGCCAAGCCAAGCCAAAACACACACACACTGACTCACACACACACGCATATATATATATACAGACAGCTACAGTGAGCATTATCCTTTTGCGGCTGGCGCAGCTCCCTAGCCATTGTTGTTGTTGTTGCTGTCTCTGCCATTATCCTGGCCGCTGCCTGCCTGTGGCGTGCGCCTTGTCCTTTTGCATGCGGGCGGGTTTTGTTTATGCGACAATCGAATTTACTGCTTCATTAAATTTGTGTTTAAGCTTCCGCTTCCTGCAGTGCCACTCCCGCTATCCCCTCCCCGCTCTCCCTAGCACACTCTCTCTTTCTCTGTGTCTCTGTGCAAAACTATGCATCTGGCGAATTGTTTTGCGGTTTCTATGAATGCCAAAAGTTGGCCCAGCATTTGCTTCTTATTGGCCGGCCCATTCAACGGGTGCTTTGGCAGGCCCCCTTTCCCGCTACCCATCTTTCCTACTCGTACCGCTGGCTAAACAATTAGTTGCCTGGCCATGCCCACGGCCGACTTCCCTTTTTTTTCGCGCCAGCCTAACGGATGTGCTACTTTGATAAATTGTTTTAATAATTGCGTATCAGTGTCTGGCTGTTAATGTATCCTGCTCATCCGGCTGACGGAACGATCCGGGTCCAGTTCGAGGGAGACGGCCGGCTGGATCGGGGGGAGTGTGAGAGGGTGGGGTTTGCTGCTGGCTGTGCTATTAACACGCTATAATGTTTGATTTTTCGTTGTCGTTGGCTTTTGCGGCTTATGGAATGTCAGCCCTTTGGATTAGCAGGGACTTATTGTTGCTGCCACAGCCACTGCTGCCGCTGCCACTGCTGCCTTTGCCTCTGCCACTGCCACTGTTAATAAAATTAGCATATAAATTAAGTTTGCATGCTGTTTTGCCTGCCAGACCCACTGTGTGCTGGCCAAATGCCTGCTGACACACATATTACATATTTATACGCACCATTTTATTTGAAAACTCGAGAAATACGTAAGAGGCTGCGCGCCACGCCCACGTCCACTAAAAACTGACGCCCATTTGATATGCACACACACGTCTGGCCCTAAATCAATCTACAAGGATTTGCAGCTAATGACGGCATAAAGACAGCCCCAAGCCGTCAGCCCCTAAATGCGCCCCCAAACAACACAAAAAAAAAAGGTTTGCGTCTTAACACGAAAATCAAGTCAAGCTAAGAAGTCTGTGCGTGTGTGTGTGCATGTGAGTCGTGTGTGTATGCCTCTGTCTGTTAGCTGCATAAGTTATGGAGCTCACGTAGCTGAACTACGTGGCCAAATACAGGATATGGAATACAAAATATGAGCTGCTTAATTATGCAGGCTCCAACAGAAAATACATATATATACTTATATATATTTATATAGAATATAATATAATTTAATAAACTATAAATAACTTAAGAAAGCAAGTACGAAGTACTCTAGACGCCATCTTCTCTTCTCCTTTAGGCCCTTACTATGGCTGATAAGTTGTTGAATAACATCGGTGTTCATAGTCCGATCTTTAATTTGAGGGGATAAATATGACAAAAAAAATGTGGCATACACCAAAGCGCAGAGCTCGAAATCATTTTTGGGGCGAATGAAGAGAAGCATTCAAAAAGCGAAATATTGTTAATCTGTGTATACTAAACTTTATACCAAGTTTGCTGTAGCTAGCTCTTTTAATATTCGAGTTATACTTAAATAAGCAAGGCTCAAAATCGATATTTATCGATATCGTGACAGTGGAGAAAGATATCGCGAAAGTAACTGATAGACTCGTGCTGTATTACAAATTTCGAGTCCGTAGCTTTAGTAGTTTCCGAGATCGCACGGACATGGCTACAGATATGGTTAGAAACAAGAATTCGATAACGATTTTAATAGATTTTATTTAATTCTCGATTTACTTTATTTACCCAGTTTCAAAGGGCCCACAAATCTGTGCAGAGCATTAACAAATGTAATCGCATAATACGATAGAGATAGGAGGAAAAATAGTGGAAGTGGAAGTGGAAGTGTGGGGTTGGGTAAGGTCGTCAGCCAGCGGGTGGTGCAATTGTTAATTTGTGTGTGTGTTTTACGCACCGCTCACAGCTAGAAATGAACAATTTGCGTGGTGCATTAATGTTAAGCGTCTTAGGCACCGCCCGTGGCTAGGCAATATGCTTGTCACACACGCAGGACGACTGCAGCTGGCAAGGCCACGTGAGCTGTAGTGGGAGGAGAAGGTGGCGGGGTTCACTACCAAATTGACTTATCATGATTTTACAGTGTGGCCGTTGTCAAAGCATTGTGCTTGGAATGTTTTGCGTTTATTGGTTTGTTTATTAAATTGTTGCAACGTGGCCCAGCAGCAGCACGTGCCACACAGAACAGACAGGATGGGAACCAAATGAATTTCTCACATGATTAATTTGCCTGGCAACTACAAAGGGCAGCGGCGGGGGCGGGTCCAGGACGAAGGTCCGAGGCATGTAGCTAAGCAGACGAAGCATGCAGCACGGCATGGTTACAGTGGCAAGTGGCAAGTGGCAAGTGGATGAGGCACTTGCACACAGTCATTCGGCATCGAGCTGATTTGTCGAGTGGCACAACTTGGGCAAAGTTTTCCAGTTAATCAGCCACTAAAAATTGTTTAAATTCATAATTTGTGTTTGCTTAGTTTGAAGCGTTCGTTGCCAGAGAAATGAAAAGCATTTCTCTTGCTGGAAATTCTCAACTTAAGAGATTGCATTTTGAACAGTTCTTCGAAATTTGCGAGAGTCTTGTCTAATGCTCAGTTGCTCTGTATGAATCCATTTTTTTATTTCCAAGAATATCTCTCAGAAAACCCTTTCAATAGATGGTTCCTTTAAAGTTTCAGAATTAAGAGCAGAAAATACCCAATCTCATATATATATCCTTGATTAGTATCAAGAACTTTGTCCAAGTCTTGAAAGTCTTTTTCTTGCAATAAAAGACTTTAGGTCGTTTTTTTTAGCCAATCACAACATTTCAGTTCACACAGCGAATTATTGCGCTAATTGCATTGCAAACTGAATCATCAAGAAATTAGCACTCGTAAAAGGATATGAGGCATTCGATATTCATATAATTGCATTTATATTAACAAAAAGTTACTCACCTGCAACTTGGCATGTTGATAATTTGTTAGGGTTCGGTTATTGAACGAATATTCGTGGGGATTACAAACGAATATTTCCGATGAGTTGTAAATTTTTTGCTGAGACACTTCACTCGGGTTCCTGGTTATCAATTATCAATCCATAACTGCAATAATTAGGATAAAACGAGAAGGTTAGTAACTTTTTCTTTATATAAGACTTTTTGCTTAGGTAGAGAACATCAAGTTTATATGCTCTATTCGCGAGCTTCTTCTTTTTCCTTATGTATTTCTTCTCGTAAAGACCCTCACTTTGTGAAGACGCTCTCAACCTTAAGCAATGAGTTATTATTAC